GTAAGTCTTTCTCATCAGATTATGGTGCAAGTAATCCAGTGTTGTATGAGGTATCACATCCAACTCTGAGCCATTTTAAAACAGAAAAGCATGCCTCTACAGAATTCATAAACAAATTATAGTTAAGGAATATATGTGTGTGTGTGTGTGTGTGTGTGTGTGTAAACTCAAAACTCAAAAACACAGCAAACTAGGAATAACAGACTCAACAAAAAAATAGGGGGGGAAGTAGTTAAGAGATCTCCTGATCATCCTGATAATACTATCAAAGTGATAATATTGCTGAAGTGTTATTATCTGGGTAAGAGACATAGGAAAACAGTCTACCTAAGCTTAATTTATTTTTATACACAGTGATTAGCATGTATTACAATAGGTAACGTTTATGCATTGACTCAGTGACCGGGGCAATAGGGGTAGGTGTGTCAGAGACAATGAAATCAGCTCAAGCTAGAGCAGGGTTCAGAGATGTTGCTAAGAGTCCAGGTACGTAACACCACCACCACCACACCACACATGGTTGGCAATGAACAACTCAACCCTATCAATGCTTGTCCCCCCACCCTCTCTGCATAGTTTTCTATTTCCTGGTTTGTGCCAGTCCACACCTCTTCATTTCTTTCTCTTTCCTATCTCTAATCAACTCTCACGTCATCGTTTCTTCTCATTTTTCTTTGTTGGAAGATTGGGAGATAGATTAGCTTAGCTTGCCCTGCCATTAGCACTGGTAAGTAATGGAAGAAATGAGCATTACTGCCTGGTCTCACGTTCCATTACAATGACCTTTTATATCAACAAATGAATCATACATGTATCCACGTGTGTCAGGGGAAGTTAGGGAGAGAATAATAAGAAACTAAGTTTAGCTGCTGAAGCTAGATATTTCTGGAGGGAGACTTGGGAACTGGATATATTTAGTAAATCTAAATGTTTTAAGATGTAATTCCAAAGTTTCTGCTTACTTTGGCTTCTTTTTATCACAAAACAGGCTGTTCTTTGTGCCTTGAAAGAGACTCCCAGGCTGCAGAGTCATCAGAATTGCCCAGAAATGTCTTTAATCTTGACCATTTTCAAACAGATTCCCACAGTGAACAATTTTCTGAGGAGTTCTTATAATGCAGAGTCTGTTCAAGTGATTTTTAAAAAAATAAATTAAATAAATAAAGAGCACCAAGTGTAACGAGGGAGAAGGAAAGTGCACAGCCTCCCAAAATGTCATAAAAAGGAAAAAATATTGGACCGGAAATGAAAGACTACCCAAGCTGAAACTAGGTACATGCCATGATTCAGAATAAATGACCTAGAACTCTTCCAAATCTAACACACTTTGCAAACACTGCAAAGGTTTCCACAACTTCCAAGAGTATATTCACCAGCAGAAGAACAAGCATGTGGTATGTACTCCCACAATCACAAAGGAAGGGAATCTGTGATTTGGGTTCTACAATTTTTATTTCGCTCCTCCCCTCACCCCCTCATCCTCACACACACTCACTCATTGTTGTGGAGTTGGAATTGATTCATATCTGATCATCCAGTGGTTTTTCCCAGGCTGCATATGACACAGGGGGTGGTTGCCCATCTTTCTTCTGCAGAGATAGTGGTGGATTTGAATCACCAGGAGTACCACATTTTGGGTTAGCAACACGACTCCCTAAAGATTATGCATTATTCTCTTGAAAAACGTCATTCCTATTGCGCCAGAACTGACTCATAGCTGAATCTCCCAGGGGGTCTTCAGAGGCTATAAACCTCACGGGAGGAGAGTGCACATTGTTTCTCCCTTGGAACTCAGCTACAGGATTTTCTCACCTGCCCTTGGGTTGGGAGCACAGCTCTTGACTCACTAGGTCACCAGAGTTTAGAACGAGAAAACTTCCCATCGTTCACAAGATGTGAAGCATGCTAGATAGTTAATGTCTCTTGTCAGTAACAGAAGAGGCCCGATGGCATAGGGGTTAAGGACTCCACTGGTAAGTGAAAGGTAAGTAATTGGAGCCCAATTAACCAGCTATACCAAGGGCAGAAGATGTGACAGTCCCGTGACATAAATATTAACCCACAGAGTCCGTGCCAACCCCTGGCAACCCTTTGTCAGGTTTCCAAGGACGTAAATCTTTAGAGGAAGAGATTATCCATCTTCCTACTGCAGAGATGCCGGTGGATTCAATCCACCACACTTTTGGTTCACAAATCAACATGCTACCAGAATTTCTTTCCTGAAGATTCTCTCTTTCACTGCTGTTGAGTTGGGTGTGACTCATCGCTGACCCTCCACCAGGCTTTTGGAGGCTGTAAGTCGTGCTGCAGGAGATTACTCACATTCCTCCCATGGAGCTGCAGGTAGATTCCAGCTGTCAGAGTGTGGTCTTTGTGCGACTCTGAGAACTGTCCTCTTTTCTAAAGATTAGAGACTTAGAGACCCGGATGTCTACCCTCTCCAATAGGGTCGCTCTGGATTGGAATTGACTAGAAAGCAAGAGGTACGTTTCAGCACTAACACTATAGGTTTGATGAACCCAGGGTGTCTGCTTGCTTATTTCTATATCTTTGTAAAGGAAGAGAGACAGCAAAATAAAGACTCTCAACGAGTTAGATTAACAAAGAGACTGCAGCAGTGGGCTTGAGTGTGCCAGAGATTGTGAGGATGGCACCGGATAGGATAAGGTGCAGATCTGTTCTTCACAGGGTTGCTATGAAGTGTTCTCCACTCAGAAATGCCTACAATAACATCCACATATATAACGTGAGACCTATGTAAAAGAAATTAAATACTTGGTGTCAAGGATAGAAGGTCTTAAATCTGTGGCATGTAGCTCAAGGGATAAAAAAATTTTCATTTTAGCAGGCAAGTAGGAACTAAAGAAATGATGAGTTAGACACAATGTAGATATTGAACAAAAAGAGAAAAGAGGGAATAAATAATGTATACTGCATTGAAACAGATGAGGGAGAGAACTGTTTAAAAGGGATAAATGCTTAGGTATTATTGTCATGACAGGAGTCCAGAATGAAGGCTGCACAGTGGAGTGGACCTGGGGAGAGGGATTGTATAACAATGAAAGAATTTTTCTTTTACTTTTCAAAAAGAAGAGCAAATTGGGGGTAGGGGTAGGAAAGGAGAAAAGTGCAACAACGAATGAATGGAACTCCAAAGACTCTGTAAACTTCCATTAAAATTATTTTTTTTAAAAAGGGAGGGGGAAATTCTTAAAAAGTTAAAAAAAAAGTCAGTGGTACCAGACTTACAGCCTCATGCAATCTGTATGATTACAGCCTCCAAAAACTCACTGTGGGGTTCCAACCTGATAGCAATGAGAGTTTGTATAATATATATACATGTGTGTGTATTAGTCTTACTCAGTTCTTCCATTGAGTTGGTTCTGACTTAGAGTGAACCTCCACTGGCTTTCTGAGGCCATAAATCTTAATGGGATGACACTGTCCAAATTTCTTCCTCAAAGTAGCTGGTGGACTTGACCTGCTAGATGTATGTCCCCTGGTTGAAACACATATGTACATGTGTATATATGCATGTGTATATGAGCTCCCCAAATACTTCATCCATAAAATATTTATTATACATCTTTTACCACTGGTGGCTTAGTGGTAAGGAATTGTGCTGCCAATGCAAAGGTATGCAGTTCAAATCCACCAAGTGCTCCATGGGAGAAAGATGGGCAATCTCTTCCCATGAATTTACTGCCTCTGAAAACCTGCTGGAGGGTCAGCTACGGGTCATGTCTAACTCTATGGCACATAAGGGTGTGTGTGTGTGTGTGTGTGTGTGTGTGTGTGTGTGTGTCCCATGTAAAGAAATGGCTCACATGCTGTAGAGGTTTGCAAGCCCTGGACTCAGGGGCAAGAGTGACACATTCGAGGTTGTCAGGCAAGGCAGGAAGTGCCAAAGAGCTGGGAACCAAGTGGAAGCTCTAGAATGAACAATAAGTAAGTCAGCTCCTCCAGACTCCCTACATACACGGAATGCACCCCCAACAAAGACCCTCTCAACCAATGGGCCATTCATAACAAATCATCAAGGAGGTGATGCTGCAGCACCAAACCTCATCAAGGCAATGAGCACAACACAACTGCCAAACCAGGGAAGCACAGACAGCCAAGCTGACACACAGTCTGGACCAACACATGCGGACACACTGCCCCAACCAGGCTTTGCCCACACAGCTCTACAACCTGGAAAGCTCAGGAAGGCAAAGTCAGACAAAACAGTGATCAAGCATGAGGACTGAAAGAGTACGCTCATTCACGCCCTGGGTCTGTTCCCTCACCTGTTAATAGGGCGAGCAGGGGAGGTGTCCCTGTAAGTTGAAGGCATTTCTCCAGTGTTAGAGATTATTGTGGTGGTGGTGGTGGTGGTGGTGTGATTGTAATGAAAGTTTTAAGAAAGGTTGGATTTTCATTCATTCACTGATTGACATTTTCCTTCCCCCGCCTCCAATTCACTCGGTAGTGCACTTCTAGTTACAGGTTGCAGTTCTTAACCATTTGAGCCACGAGCCCTTTGGAGAATCTGAGCACAAAGCCCATCTCCCAAACCCCTAACTGTTCCCTTCCTGTCCCCCAAGCCTTGCCCCAGTTTTACGGAGGGACACTGATGTCCACGTTGAGGACTGAGATTCTCGGATGGAGCTGTGGCTCCGGGAAGGGTCGGCCCCGGGGGCGCTCAGCCCAGACCGCGGGGCTCCGGAGGGTCCAGGCGAGCAGCGCGACGGACACGGGAGGGGAGGACCCGGCCCTCGGCCCGCCCTGCACGAGCCTCGGGAGGGGGCTCCGGCTTATTACGGGATGGAAAGTCGGTGTCCAGGGGCGACGGGGGAGGGGGTAGTCGGGAGAGGGAGGGGCGGGTGAAAGGCGTATTCATACAGCCAGGGGCGGAAGCGGAGCTCGGCAGGGTCTCAGGCTGCCCACGTCCGCCTCCTTCTCCTCCTGTTCGTCCAGGTCCTCGGGCTCCTCTCTGCGCATCCCGGGCGCCGTGCGCCATGCGCCCCCCGCGCGCCGCCGCCTCCCCGGTGCCTCTGAGCCTCCTGCTGTTTCTGCTTCTGCCGCTGCTGCCGACGCCGTCGGGCAGCCCTGAGCCCCCCAAGGTCAAGAAGGCGCAGATCCGGCAGAGGGAGGTGGTGGACCTGGTGAGTGCGGAGGAGGCGCGCTGCGCTGGGAGCAGCGGGGCTGCATCTGTCCAGCCTTTGGGGAGGGGTTCTCTGTCCAGTTGTGTGGGAGTCATGTGTGCGCCCGTGTGTCCTGCTTGCCTGAGTCTGCGTGTGAGAAGGACCGTCTGTGTGTGTGGTGGAATCCTGCAACCCCGAGGGGGAACTGAAATAACAGGGCCGACAGGAGCAGGGCTAGGACATGAGTCCAGGGGACACCCCGAAGTACAGGGAGTCTCAGAGAGACTCCAGGGAAAATGGAGAATGTTGGGACTGGAATAAGAATAGAATGATGAGCTTAGGTAGGTTAGAACCTAGGCCTGGACTCTTAGAGACCCTCACCTCCTTCCATGCCCTGAGCCAAGAGCATGCTACGTGTCCTTTGTTGGAGGCGGTGGCCACATCCAACCGCAGAAAGAAATGAGAACCTTCCCAAAGCAGCTGTCCAGATCTTTGTAACTTGAAATCTATGAGTCATGTTGGGTCATCGTCCTGGGGAGGATGCAATTTACTTAGCTGGGCAACCACAGCTGGGGCAGGGAGGGTTCAGAGGGTTTGAGGCTGGGAGGAGAATTGAAGGGTCCTCACATTAACTCTCTAAGGACCTTTTTCTTTGGTTCTGTTGAGCCCAGAGAGCTGGTCCTTCCAAACCTTGCTTTTGTGGCCACTTGTGGGTTTAAAAGAGAAGACAATTTCCAGAAGAAGAAAGAGCCCAAGTGCTTCCTACAGGGCTGATCTATGTGAAAGGGGTTTGCACTGCCAACTCCAAGATTAAAAGCGTAGGAGCCACTAGTTGCTGTGAGGGAGAAAGATGGGCAGTCTCCTCCCACAAGACTTACAGCCTCTGAATACCCGCTGGAGGGTCAGCTATGAGTTCAGATTCTCCAGTATGTAACAACAACAATCTATAAGATCTGTTTGTTGATAGCTCTTTCCCTCCAAACCTGGGCAGAGAAGTGAGGAAAAGTGATGCTTTCAAACCAGACCGGTGAAAGGACAGTGACACTAAGAGTCATGCCTCCCCAGCTACCTCGCTCCTTAGAACATGTTGCAGTTCAATTCTTCTACCAGTCTTCTCTGCACATCACTCAGGCATTGCTGCAGTTAGACAGAGGGGCCTTTTTCATTTGTAAAAAAGTTTTGATTTTTACAAAAAAACTCTGCAGCAGCCATTCTGCACTGAACTAATAAACCAAGCTCCCTGGAAGCCCTGTGCTACTTTCAGAAGCACTTGAAAAACATTCCTTCTAGTTCATGTAGCACTTTTTGGTGATGTGCTATGTAATTTGGCTCTATAAAAGCAGACTATGTATTTAGGGCTGCAGTTCTATTTTCAGTGTTGACATCATGGAAAGCTATACTAAGTGAGTGTGGTTCATATGCAGGTTGTGTTTCATGAATCTCTGCTTAGAGTAGACACCGTAGTCCTTTTGCCCATAAAGCTAGCATTTTTTCCCTTTATGGAGTTTCAGCACGATATTTCCCACAACTTTAGCCCCATTTGAAGAATCTTAGTGTGTAGCCAGGTGCAGGTAAACCCTGGATGTTGGATTTGGTCTTGCTGAAAGGAAAAGCCCCCGGTAGTTTGTAAGTAGGTTTCAACAGATCTTATGAAGCAACTTCTTTGTACAGGATCTTTCAAAGCCCTCCTTTCACGATTTCAGCAAGCTCTGCCCCCTGGTGGCAAAGAACAGTGCTGAACAGACATAGGTGTAGACTATGCCCTTCTATTGGTGTTTTTGTTGATCCTAGACATTTCTTGTCACTGGATACGCAGCACATGCTGGATTTGCATTTTAAAGAAGGCAGAATGCCCGTGGAACCAAATCAATAAAAAGCCATAGTGTTTCATTCAAATGCATCTTTCGAATAAGAAGGTGGATTAAAATGTCATTATTTCTAAACTTTGTTATTATTGAAGTTTGGGACAATTCTTTGCTGTGGAGGACCGTCCTGTGTGTAGGATGCTGGATGCTTAGCATCATCTCTGGCTTCCAGACACAAAGTGCCAGCAGCATCCTCCCTACTCCCTCCCAGTGGTAACAGACATTACCTGCCCCTTGAGGACAATACTGCTTCTGATACAGAGGAAAAGAAAACAGCTTGTGCAACATCTTAGTCCAGGGAAATAATAATGGGTGGGCGATGGGGGTGGAATAATACCAAAGGACGCTTGTGTTTCTCCCTTCCCACTCAACATGTATGTTGTTGTCATTGTGTGTTGTCATGTTGGAACTCCTTGTCACTAGGCCACCAGAAGTCCATCATTAATACATAGAAGCCATTATTTACAACCTATCACAAGTGGAAAATAATTAAATCATATAGTGGAGGATGATAGTGTCCTCACCTAACTGCCAAACCACCGAAAATCATAGCCCAGCCAAGTTGATACATGTTTTGAGAGGAAATTGTTCAACTCAGGACACTTGCCTTATCTCTCAAGGCTAATAAGTAACAGGAATATATAATCTGTTACTCAGAGAGAGCCTTGGTTTAGTGCAATAAAAACACCTAGCTAGGTTTATGAAAGGGAAAGGACTTATTTTGCAAAGATGCAGCAAAGGGAGTCTAAGTAGCACAGCACTCCAAGTGGCTACTTGCATTGGCCAAATTTCAGAATTATTTATACCACAAATCAGATTCCATACACACACAATTATTCTCAGAATGACTTAAAGACATTCTCTAGGTTACAAGAGCAACCTGCAAATTCTGACTACAGTACATTCCCAGGACCACATGGACAGTTACCATGTGTCCTTTATGTGGATTGTCTACAGTCTTGAAAACAATATGTGGAATTTTTAAGGCCACCATGATCTGGATGATAGGAAGCAAGCACTAAGGGGAAGGTAATAGATTTTTTTGTCTTCATATTTTAACCCTTTCTTCTCTCAGATCTAGCTCCAACATCTATACTTGTAACCTGTACACAGTCCCACTCCCCCTATAACCAGAGTTCTAGCATTTAAGTTATCTAAGTTTGGGGGGCTTGTTGTGTTTGGTTTTTTTCTTTTTCCGGTTATATATTTCTGATATTTTATTGCCACGTGTGGTGTTAGCCTAAAGTTGGCTCTTTTAAGCCATTACCTTAGATCCCTCTGATCTCCAGCTGCCTTAACTACAGACTCATGGTTTTGCAGATCATCAATAGCTGTGTGGCTAGGATAAAAGAAAGAGTGCTTCCCACATAGAGGAGTTTGACTTGCAGTGAGCAAGACACTAGTGAGGGCAAGACCTTGGTGATGGTGGTGGAGAGACTGTGGCATTGTTGTGGCAATGTGTATAACTGTGTTAGGGTGTACCAGAGGAGCCCTGACATAAAGGCCACAGTTACAGGTTTTGCTGTGCTTGACAGATAACTAAGGAGGCAAACCTTGCTGGATGATTTGCATTTGATTGTTGAACTGAAACCAGAGCCTGAACTAATTGAGGAATTGTGGCTTGGGACTGCTAGGACAAAACTTAGATTTTCATTAGTTAATATTCTTTGCCTCCCCTACAAACTGCAACCAGAACTTTTACTAGTTAAGGAATTGTGATTTGCTATTAATCTGGCTTGGGATTACTGAACTAACACTAGATTTTTCACTAGGTGGTATTCTTTGCCTTCCCCACTCTCCAACTTAGTTTCCTAATAAGCCTCTTACTTGGTACCACAACTGTGAATAAAGTCTGTGAGTCAACAACGAATTATTGCCACTTGTGTGGCTCTGGAGGCACCATTGGACTGGGCTACAGGCTCTTTATCTGTTTTCTGCTCTAGGGCGATGAGGATCTGTACTAGTCTCACTCCCTCTGGCCCTCTCAGAGAGACACTCGTGGCCCTGTGCCCCATGTTCCATTTTCTGTTCACAAGGCACTACTCTATTACAGAACAACAACTACCCATACCAGGTAATTTACTTGACCTCAGGGAATACAGAGAGGACATATCCTGGTCACATGTTCTCCATATAAAAATTGAGACAGTTAGGTGAGGATATGCATATCCATATGATGCATGTTGTTAAATTTGAAAGCTTTGCAGATTGAACCCCACCATTAACTCCAAAGGGAAAAGATATGGCAGTATTTTCTCATAAAGACTATTGTTGTTGTTAGATTCTATAAAGGGAATGCCTACTTGCAGCAACTCAGTGTTTAACAGAATGAAATTCTGTGCCAGTCCTGTGCGTCCTCACAATCATTGCTCTGTTTGCACCCATTATTGCAGCTACTATGTCAGTACATCTTCTTGGAAGTCTTCCCTCTTTTTTGTTGACCCTTTCTACTTACCCAAGTATAATGCTCCTCTTCAGGGACTGTTTCCTCCTGATAACACATCCATAGGGTTTAGGGTATAGCTTTGTAAAAGGAGACAATGCAATGTGGAATTTATTAGGGGAATAGGTTGGGGAGTGAGGAAGGCAAAGAACATCACACAATGCAAGTCCAGGTTTAATACAGTTGTCCCAGCCAGATTAATAAGATGCAATTTGTAAAAGTTCAGGTTCAGTTCTGCAGCACAAAGGCACCTCTGGTTTTCTCAATAATCCAGCAAACTTCATCTCAGAGAAGTTACAAGTCAGCTTTTCCTTCAGTTATCCAGCAAGCAAAACCTTTAATTGTGGTTCCATCTCCAGGGTTCCTCAGGTTATACCTTGCCACAGTCTTTTCTCACCCTCTCTCCACCAATCTTTTCCACAGTGTGGAAAGCAGTCTCTTATATTGGTCCTACAACTGTTGATTTGCAAGACCACATATGTGGCGGGGCGAGGGATAGGAGGAGGGGGCGCACACTCACACGTATGTAAAGTTGTGAAATTTAAAAAAGTAGAAAAGAATCCTATAGTATTTTAACTATACTTTGGAAATGAATTATCTGTGATAACTCATATGGAATAACATGGGCAAGTGAGAAGAAAGGATGCTTTATCCCCAGGGCTCAAAAGAAATGTAGTTCCAGTCAGATTAGAATTGGCCTAGTGGTAAGAAGCTACACTGCAATTCCAAAGGCACATGGTTTGAATCCACTAGCTGCTCTGCAGGAGAAGGATAGGCTTCTGAAAACCTGCTGGAGGGTTAGCCATGGGTTGGTTCTCAATAACACACAATAACAAAACAACAATCAGAGCTGCTCTTTAGCTCTTTATGAAGTGGTGATATCCCCTTTCTTCTCTCCTTGTAGTATAATGGAATGTGCTTGCAAGGACCTGCAGGGGTGCCTGGGCGAGATGGGAACCCGGGGGCCAATGGCATTCCTGGCACTCCTGGGATTCCTGGACGAGATGGACTCAAAGGGGAAAAGGGAGAATGCCTGAGGGAGACCTTTGAGGAGTCCTGGACACCCAACTACAAGCAGTGTTCTTGGAATTCACTGAATTATGGCATAGATCTTGGAAAAATTGCAGTAAGTAAAATCTGATTTTTCTTTTAAAGTTGAAACAATACTTGGATTTTCATATTTGATTATTAATGTTTAGGTGAGATTTTATTGGTTTGCTTAGGGGTGAGATTTTATTGGTTTGCTTAGAGGTTCCCTCCCTACCAAAGGACGTTTAATAAATAAAATAAAACCTAGGTAAAGTGAAAGTCTTAAATCAATTTGGAAAATTGGTAGCATTCCCAAATTTCCTAAGAGTATTTCTAAGACCATTAAATACGTTCTACTATATTGTATATTAAAACTTACTCTTTAAAAAGAAAAATCAACCCGAAGTGGGAGCACAGGTGTTTATGTTGAACAGTGAACAACTTTCCAGTCTTGACCTACTGTGACATTTAATTTAAATGAAATTAAAACTAATTTTCATTTTACTGCAAAATTTAAATTTATAAACTTGATTTATGGTCCCTGACACAATTAGGGGAAGAAATCTCCACATACAGGGATTACTTGGAAGTGGAAAGTATGTGCTCTGGTTCCAGTTCAAAGACCTAAATTTAAAATGCTGAGCTTGAGAGAAGTTAAATAGACCAGATGGGATACATTGCATTGACCATTTGAAATTCTTCTGCAACTTTTAGGGGGAAAACTTATTCAGAGCAGCCTGCCTAGGGATTTTGATTAATGATATAGTCACTTGGATTAGTGTTCAGTTCACATGTGACTAACTGCCAAGACTGCTGGGATGGGATAGAGATGAGGTTGACAGTATTTATAAACCTCTTTCTTCCCTTGTTGACTAATGCTGTTCGCACTTCTATGTCTACAATGCTTTCCTTCACTGTCTCAGCTAGTATGGCTCCTAAGCAAAAGAGAAGAGATTCTCTTTTTTTATAAAATTAATGTTTTGAGAAGGAACCTCTGGTGGCCAGTGGTAAGGAACCATGCTCCCAACTCGAAGGCATGAGGTTCAAAACCACCAGCTGGTCTGCAACAGAAAGACGAGAGATCTCGTCCCCTTTGATTGACTGCCTCTGAAAGATCAGCCATAGTAGCTTCTCAATCAATGGTGCACAACAAGATTCCAAGATGTGACATGTTTATCTGTCCCACATCTGAGTGTGTTAAATCAAGTAGGTCTTTATACTCTATATAAAAGAGTGTGAGAATTTCTTGTGTTGATTTGATCATTTTGGTGACTGTGACCTTTTTTTATGCTCACATAAGATTTCTAAGAAAGTATTTTATTAAAAGCTTGCCTTGTTATTTGAACATCTGACATTTATGACTGCTTATTTGACAAGTTATTTGTAGTTGCTCATAAATCGCTGAGTTCTTTCTAAAATCTATCCTTATGGACTCTGAATTATTAATATGTTTCCAAGTCAGAATGTAAATGGGAGCTTTTATCAAGTAAAAGACAATGGGGCCATGAACCAATAGACAGAGGACTTTTGCACATACCAATTAGAGAAAAACCTGGGCCTTATGATTATATCTATAGGTAAAGAACGTAAACAAAATTGGCTAAGAGTCCCTGACCCTCACCTAAGTTTTGCTTCCTAATAAATGTTTCTTTTTTTAAATTTTTTATTATTATTCTTTTTGTGTGCGTGTACCGTCAAATCAGATCTGACTGGTACAGGAGGATATTGCACCTCCTTCTCCGGCAGAGCATCTGGTGGATTTGAACCATGTTCCTCTGGGATTGCATAATAAATGTTTCTGTTGCTCAAAACAAAAAAATCCAACAACCAGTTGCTGTTGAGTTGATTCCAAGTCATGGTGTCCCCATGCTTGTCAGGCCGGAACTGTGCTCCATGGGGTTTTCGAATGACTCAGTTTTCATGGAAATTAAATGGATCATGTGGGATGCATTACATTCTCTGAAATGATACTGAAACCTTTTGGGGAGAAGCTTGCTCAGAGTAGGCTGCCTGGCAGTACATTTTTATTAACAATCCAGCCACTCAGGTTATTGTTGGACGGTCCAGCCTTGATTGGGGAGCCCCTCTGGGTAGAAGCGAACCTTTTGGTTAGCTTTCAGTCCATCACCTTAACCATTTGTACCACCCAGGGATTCCTCAAAAAGAAACACGTCAAAGCAAATGGATACAGACACCACTGATCTAGAATGTTCCCTCTCTGAGGATAGGGAGTCTGTATTTTAGTAGTTGGGGTTCTGCAAATATTTTTTTAATGAAAATAAATAGAAATTGGTTGGTCTAAGATGCTGTTAGGGAGCTGTGCTGCAGATCCATAGGCACACAGTTCAAATCCACCGGCTGCTCTCTGAGAGAAAGATGAACAGTCTCCTCCTGTGTGATTTACTGCCTCTGAAAAACCTACTGAAGGGTCAACCATGAGTCATTTCTGACTCAGTACTCAATGACAAGATGCTGAAGTAAAATTGAAAGGTGAAAACCCATAATCTGATTTTCTTGAATTCCTATTCCATAGTCTCTTACCTGCCTTGCACAAAACATCTCTGTGAAGGTTAAACCTTTGGACCCTTTAATGACCCATTTCTTTTCCACTTTGTTATTTGCCATGTCTTTCATTAACAGAAAGCATGCTGATCCAAAGAGTATTTCTGAACACTTGTTATGAAACAAGGATTTGGGTATTTATTAAGTGAGACAAATACGCCCCTCCAGACTCTGAGTAGGATTATGTGGGACTCAGTTGTTCCACTCTATGTAAGGAATAGAATTAATTAGTGAGGCATATATGTCCCTTTAGACTCTGTCCTACCTTCTCAATCTCTTAATTGATGAATACAATTTACTGAAAAAACTTAGTGCTCTCTTGGAACTGACCCTTCAGGAAGCTGTAAACAGCAGGGGAAGAAAGCACCCTTCCTTCCTTAGAGACACTGGTGGGTGAGCCACCAGAGAGATGTCACTCTTGCATTATCAGAGCAACTTCTTATAGACAGATTACAACATCTGAACTTGGTGAATAAAGTTCCTGAAAATGTGGCCTTGGCACAACCAAGGATTTATCGTGAGAAAGGTGCTTCCACATCTCACAACTGGAGCCTGGACATAGGATTACAAGGTTTATCTCCCAGCAGATAAGCCAAAAGAGATAAGCTTTGCAAAGTTATATCTCCAGAATGCATTGCCTCTTTCAATACCATGAAAAAACAGTAACTTTCTATATGTGCTCATTTCATTATAACAGGACCACTCCTGACAACTGCTTCAAAAAACTTAAGAGGGAAAAAAAAATGTGTTGTCATTATTTTCCATCGATTATGATTTACAGTGACCCTATGAAGAATGGTCCTGAACCCTGCCCTACCCTGAGCCAGTCTCACTGTCTCTGACACACCTATTATCCCAGTTATTATCTCCATCCATCTCACCAGGGTCTTCCTCTCCCACGCTGTCTCTCCACTCTTCTGAGCATGAGTTCCTTCTTAAAGGACTGGTCCCTCCTGGCCACATACCCAAAGTATGTGAGATGGAGCTTCAAAATCCTTGCATCCAAGGAGCAGCTTGATTTCACCCTCTCCAGGACAGATCAGTTGGTTCTTTTGGCAATCCGTGGCATGTTCAATACTTTACCCCAGCACCACAACACAAAGGTGTCAATTTTCCTTCTATCATCCTTATTCATCATCCAGCTCCCTGATTCAGAGCAAGTAATTGCGAAAACCAAGTACTGAGAGGGTGTTATATGTCCTGCAGGTGGTGAAAGGGTTCAAGATGGCGTGGAAAATGAATTGTTAAATAAAATTCACAATACAATTGGAAAGTGTAATTTTAATCCACTAACACAAAAATGCTAATTAAAGCCCATTTCTGTGCTTGTGATAGGAATGCACGTTTACAAAGATGCGCTCGAACAGTGCTCTCAGAGTTTTATTTAGTGGCTCGCTTCGGCTAAAATGCAGGAACGCGTGCTGCCAGCGCTGGTACTTCACCTTCAATGGAGCCGAGTGTTCAGGACCTCTTCCCATTGAAGCCATCATTTATTTGGACCAAGGAAGCCCGGAACTGAATTCAACAATTAATATTCATCGTACCTCTTCTGGTAGGTAGAAAACTGATACTACTTCTGCTCTTTAGAGATTCCTGAAAGGTTGGCTCTGTGACCCAGTGACTGTAGGAGAAACCACCTGGCAAACTGCTTTCCTAAAGAGGACAGCCTAGAAAACTCGGTTTTTCTAGACCATTCTGCTCTGTCTCCGCATGCTCCTAGGAACATTGAACAGCCACAGTTGTTCGCGTAAAGAGGGCCTTGGAGAATAGAGCCTTACCCAGGAAAGGTCAGCATTCAACACCTTGGCCACTCTGACAGACAAAGAGAAGGCAGTCTGTGTCCAGAAAGATTACAGCACAGGAAACCTTGTGGGTCAATTCTACCCTGTTCTGTGGTGTCACTGTGGGCCAGAACCTGCTCACTGGCAGAGGGTCTTGGTGAGTTTGAACCAAAATTGAGGTGGTGCCATGACACCCTTTCCTGGCCCTCAAGGCTTACACTGTAGCAACACCACCACCACCACCACCTAGCACACTTAACAACAACCCAGGGAAGCAGAGTCCACATTCAGAAAACAGAGTGTGAAAGAACCCTGTTCTTTTGTCTCCCAAACCCTCTTTTTGATAAAATTTAAAAGTTTTCATATTATTTCCTTAGCTATGCTGCAGGAGCTCTGGTGGCCTAGTGGTAAGAAGCTGAGGCACGTGGTTCAAAGCCACCAGGGGCTCCATGGGAGAAGGGTGGGCCATCTCCTCCTGTGTGATTTACTGCCTCTGGAAACCTGTTAGAGGGTCAGCGATGAGTTGATTTTGAGTTGCCAGCACACACCAACAACTGTACACACTGAAAAAGAAGACATGCTTTCCCTCTGAGAAACGGTCTCTGAAAGACCTAAACACAAACTATCAAACTTGATTAGAAAGTGATACCCGCTTAACTAGTACTTTATATAAGCATCTGATCTTCTGCTATGTTCACTTTAAGGTGTGTGTTAATGTCTTGCCTCATAAGCCCTTAGGACCAGGAACATGTGTCATATGCATACATACACTTAATTAATGATTTAGCATAGCGTTTCCTAGCCATGCTGTGGAAATTCAATGAGATCGGTTGGGTGGAGAGGCATAAGTAATTTATTAATAATTGGTTTTGTATTAAAATGGATTACAGGTTACCATGGTAGCCCTTCCACACTAATATTCTTTCTTGAGAGAAGGAAAAAGAGGTGAATTTATTGTTAGCACCACAGAGAATGACTTAAAACCCTAGCTGCCTGACTTTGAAGAACATCTCAATGTGTTTGGTATGAGTCTAGGAGACAAACAGCCTGAGAACCTCTGCTGTATTTTAGGTGCTTAATATGCTGCACAGTGACACTACCAGTCAACATTACCTGATGTGATTCAGCACTACATCATTCATTCAACAAATGTCATTTCATTGGTCAAAGACCATCAAAGAGATCACTTATCTCTCTTGTGTAAAGTTGATACTAGACCTGAGCTTGTCTGACTTCCTCCTGAGTCAAAAGGCTGGAGAGTGATGATACTCTAAAAGTGATCACAGAAGATCCTACAAGAAATGTATCTGGACAGACTTAGAAAGATTTAAAAAAAAAAAAAGAAAGCCAGTCTTACTGATCCCATAGAGGTTGGTGGGACCCCTGAGACTATGACCCTTTATCACCTGGAACAAAATAATACCCTTAGTAACACAGTTTTCAGTCAAACTGTGAGGTCTTTATGGGCATCTCCTCCCACTGGATTAACTGTTTCTGAAAACCTGCCAGAGGGGCAGCTCTGGGTCAGTTTTGACTGCTGGGTACACAGATCAGAGCTCTGGTGGTATAGTCTGTAGCTTGTTGCACTATTAATCAGAAGGCCTCACATCTCCAGCCGTTCAAATCCACCAGCAGTTCAAATCTACCAGCATCTCCATGGGAGATGGATGCACACAGTCTCCTCCTATTGTTAAAATGACAATTAAAATTTTAAAAAAATTATTTAAAAAAGAAAAGATGTACAGCATCAAAAGTCCCAAGGATGGTTTCTTTCTTTTTTTTAATTTTTAACAATTTTGTTTTATCGTATTTTTAATGAAATTTTACAGAAAATTTGGATTTTCATTCATTCTTTTTTTGCTCATTTCCCCCTCCTCCTTCCTCCCCCCATTCTAGATCACTTTTATTTTTTAAAATATTCATTCATTTTTAAAAAAAAATCATTCATATATTCCTTTTGGACAGTTCTTCCCCTCATCTGTTCTAATGCCGTGTTCATTATCTTTTCACTCTTTTCCTGTTCCCCCTAACCTCCTATGTCAGTCCTACTTTATAGCAATAATGTTATGCAGTGTTTGTCCTTTTGTAACTGCAATATTTCACGCAGCATAATGTCCTCCAGGCTCTTTCATATTGTGTGTTGTTGCGAGTTCATTGTTTTTCATTTCTTTTGGTTAGTACATCTAATGTATTTTATTTTCTTTTTTCACTAGTTTATTTACAAAATTCTAATACAAATTCAAACAAATTCTTTCAATTTCCCTCACCTCCCACCCATCGAATTTTACAAACCAATGATTAATCCCCTCTTCCCCCTGCACATCCACATCCCTCTGCTTCCACCCTTTCCCATCTCTCCTGGATTCTTATACTCATTCTACAATAATGGTCTTATACGATATTTATCCTTGTGGTTCTAAATTAGCTCACTCAGCATAATGCTCTCCAGTCCCTCCCAAGTTAGGTAATAATTTACAAACTTATTACTCATAGTATTCCATTGTGTGAATGTACCATAGTTTCTCAATCTATTCGTTTGTGGTTGGACATTTGGGCTGTTTCCATGTTCTTGTGAAGGTGAATAATGGTGCTATGAACATTGGTTTACAAATCTCAGTTTGTGCCTCAGTTCTCTTATTCTCAGGGTATATTCCAAGTAGTGTAATAGCTGGGTCATATGGAATTTTTATGTTCAGCTTTTTTGAGGAAGTGCCAAACTGCCTTCCAGAATGGTTGCACCATTTTACAATCCCACCAACAATGTACAAGATCTCCTTTCTTGCCACATTCTCTCTAACATCTATTACTAGCTGTCCTATTAAACTTTGCCACTGTCACTGGAGTAATAGGGTACCTCATTGTGGTTTTGATTTGCATCTCTCTTATTGCCAGTGATTTGGAGCATTTCTTCATGTGTCTGTTTGCCTTTCCAACGTTTTCATCTGTAAAAATTATTTCGATGTCTTTTGCCCATTTTGTAATTGGGTTATCAGTCTTTTTCTTGTGGAGGCTCAGGAGTATTCTGTAAACTTCTGTTAAAAGACTCTTGTCTGAGATGGTATTACCAAATGTTTGTTCCCATTCTGTAGGTTTTATTTTCACCATATTGGAAAAAGTTTTTGATGTGCACAAGTTTTTGATGAGATTTAATCTTTAGAAGGTCCATGTATCAATTTTATTCTCTTTAGATTGTGCATTTCTGGTGGTATTTTACAGTGTCTTTATACCTTGGACTAGCACTTCTAAGCTTCATCACAGTTTGTCTCTTATGAATATTATGGTTTTGGGCTTTACTCGAAGGTTTCTGATCCATTTTGAATTGATTTTTGTGTATGGTGTGAGATGTGGATCCTGTTTCAGATTTCTGCTGGTGGAAGTCCAGTTTTGCCAGCACCATTAGTTGAAGAGGTTATTATTTCCCCATTTGATAGTTTTGATTTCCTTGTCTGATATCAGTTGACCATAGATAGCTGGGTCTATTTCTGGGTTTTCAATTCTGTCCATTGGTCTATGTGCCTTGTCATTGTACCAGTACCATGCTATTTTGGTTACCACTGCTGTGTAGGTTTTGAGGTCAGGAAGTGCTATGCCTCCAACCTCATTTTTGTTTCTCAGACGTGTTTTGCTTATTCAGGGTCTCTTGTCTTTACAAATAAATTTGATAATTTCCCTTTCAATCTCCAAGGAGGGTTTCTATGAGTGACAGTCAACTCAGTGGCAACAAGTCTTTTCAGAACACCAGAGAAGCACTGACACTTTAGAATAACCACTTTGATATAAGGTCAAAAGGCAGCATCTGCCCAAAGATAAAGCTTAGAAGGCAGGAAGAGGTAGGATAGAAAGATTAATGAAAATTAATTATTGCGGGGAGGAAGTGGGAAGGGGGTAGTGGCAACATGGGTAGTATCATTAATGTCACAAAGCAACGTGTGTGGTTGGGTGGAGAATCTGCTTGCTTTGTAAACAGTCACTCAGGTTACAGTTTGAGAAAAACAAAACAAAACTGGGGGGGAGGGGCATAACTGTAGGGTGAAAGAACAAGTTTCTGAATCACAGACATCAAGAATTTTTTTGGAAAATATTTCTTTCTGGACAGTTTTACCTGACATGGCCTGAGAATACCAGATTAAATGGGGTTGTGGGCCCACTGTTTAGCTATCTAAACTTTGCAAAGAGCTTGAATTGGAACCTAGGCTGGCTTCTGGATTCTGAGGGACTGTCCTGAACCGCTGACCAAAGCTGATTGCTTCAGCTCCACATCCCCAGGGCTCAGCTGGAATGTCCTAATCACCACGCAGCAAATCTCAGCAGTCACATAAGGTCATCAGCTACACGCCTTTTCTGTCAGATACCTTTGCTTCAAGAATTTGTCAACTTACAGTTTCTTCTCACCCCTCTCTTTCATCCCCACCCTTTGGAAAGACACCAAAGATACCCTGTCTTTTTTGCCTGTTCAAAAGACTGCTGGGGAAAACTTGGTTTTTAACATGGGGGAATCACCTTGAAAATTGGCATGCAAGTTGTGTGTTACTCAAGAAATTCTTAAACTCATGGATGGTGAGTTGGAAATGACTCATGGTTAGCTCTGCATTGATTTCCTGAGGCTAAAACTTCCATGGGGCGAGATTGAACATTGTTCTCCCACAGAGTTGCTGGTAGATTCGAACCAGGCAAAATGCTCTCCTAACTAAATCTCCAGAGCGTCCTTAAATTAGGTTAGTATGTGAAATACACTTACAATCCATAGAATACAGAGTAAGGACAATCTATGTTTTGTTTTACTGCGAGGAGATGCTGAGTAAAATTTGATTCTTAGATTGAAGGACTTCTGTATTGATTATGCTAGGATTTCTTTTATTATTCTAAAAGCCTTTTCTTTTACTTGAAAAAGATGAGCTGTGCAAATGCTGCACAGGACTTTATTTGAAAATGATTTGCAAGTCAAATAATAGTATTAAAAAGTGTCGGCTTCCTTTGACTTGATTTATTCAAATGACTTGCTTGGGGGGACATTGTTCCTCTTTAATTAAATTCTATTTTTATGATTGAAATCTGGAAGCAAGCTGCTTGTTAAGCTTATTAGTTCTACAATCAACACTCTTGGTACCAGCAGCCAGGAAACAAAAAGATGAATCGCATTGGGAAAGTCTGCTGTCAGAGACTTCTACAAGGTACAGAAGAGCAACAGTGTCAGTCTGGAGACTAAGGTACACCTGATCTAGGCCATGGTCTATGCATCGGAAAGCTGGACAGTGACTAGGGATGATAGAAGGAGAATTGATGCCTTTAAGCTGTGGTGCTGGAGAAGAATATTGAATGGACTGCTAGGAGAACAAACAAGTTTATCCTAGAGAGGGTCAGAGCAGGCTGCTCCTTGGAGGCAGATTCTGAAGCTTCTTCTAACATACTTTAGACGTGTTGCAAGGCGGGACCAGTCCTTAGAGAAGAACGTCACGCTTGGGAGGGTGGAGGGACAGTGCAAGAGAGGAAGACACTTGATGAGATGGATTAATTCAGTGACTGGGGTAATGGGGTAGGTTTATCAGAGACAATAAGATTGGCACAGGATAGAGGAGGGTTTAGGCCTGTTGTACATAGGGTTGCTGTGAGTTGCAGGTGACTTGATGGCACATAACAACAACAACGTACCTTTAAAATGACCTCTGGTGACCTTGTAGCAAGAAGCTGCACTGCAATCCTGAAGTCAGGTTGTTCGAGGCCACCAGCAGCTCTGTGGGAGAAAGATGGGCATTCTCCTCCCATGCAATTAACTGCCTCTGAAAACCCACTGGAGCTATGGGTCGTTTTTTACTGGACATTACACAACAAGATACCTTTAAAATATTTATGTACCAGCTAAGGAAGAGAAAATGTATCCTTATCTAGGATTAGAATTTTTAAATAGCTGTATGTTAAAAGAACATGTACTCTAACTAAATGAATTAAGGTTTTGCTTTTCATTCTAAAGGAAGATATAACCTTCCTCTTTGTTTTGCAGTGGAAGGACTTTGCGAAGGCATTGGTGCTGGATTAGTGGATGTTGCTATTTGGGTTGGTACATGTTCCGATTACCCAAAAGGAGATGCCTCTACTGGATGGAATTCAGTGTCTCGTATTATTATCGAAGAACTGCCAAAATAAATTCTTTACGTTTCATTCCCTACCCACCCCCCCATTTTATTATACTTTGGGTTGACTTTTTTAAATGACATTTTATATCACTTTTTATGTATGCAGCTAAATGATAAATGAAGTTAAACATGTTTACAGGCCAAAGTGGTTTCACACTCTTCAACTTTTGTCTCATTTTACTTCAATCAAAAATTTCAAGATGTTATGGTTGATTAGAATACCTCCTCCGTATTCTCATTCCCTGAACCTACCATTTAGTTTGCCACTCTCTTAGTATAGGATTTTAAAAAATATTAAAGCTACCTGTCTTTGTATAAGTTGTAAATGTTCAAAATTGTTTTATATCTGTTAAATAAAACTTGTTTCAAACATCTTTAATTTCTTGACATTTATTGCCATTAAAATAAGGTTTTAGTACTTTATATCTGAAAAGTTTCATATATGCTCAATTTTGTTCTCACTCAACCATTGTGCATTTTTGGTACATGTATAGTTCTTATTGTTATCTAGTGCTGCTTTAACAAGGATACAAGTGGAGGGCTTTAACACATAGATTTATCATCTAGTTTAGGAAGCTGAAGTCTAGTTCAGGGTATCAGCTCTAGGGGCATCCCTCCCCAACCACCTCTCTTTTGGGGAGGAAGAAGGTCCTCATTTCCTTCAGCATCTGTAGGCCCAGTGCCAGTGAGTTTTCTAGTGCAGGTACCTAAGACCTGATGAATGCCCTCCACACCTGGAGTTTCTTTCTGGGGGGCTCTGAGGCCCCCTTTCTCACTTGCTTGCTTCCCTTTTATCTTTTGAGAGAGAGAGTGTGCTGGAGACCACACACCGTTACATTGGATCTGAGCTGTGAAGAGATTAGAGGGTATTGTGTTGCACCTTTAATCATCCAACGATTTGGTTTATCAGCTCTTAGAGGATCATAGTTTCCATATTATACCAGTACATACATATATTTTGGGGAGAGAGGGAACAATTTAATCCATGGCAGTACAAGCAGTCAATATTATGGGGGACACAGAAAGGTTATTCATGTGTTAGGAAATAGACTAGCACTGTGGGAACTTTAACAAAAGAAAAAAATATGCGACTCTACTCTCACATTGTTGCTAAAGGGTCATACTCAACTCGAAGGCTCCTAACAATAATAACTCTCAGACTGCTTATCACGTGGTAGGAAAGACCATCTACATACAAATTATCAATAAATCAAAGATTAATGTGTTGCTAGAAGCCTGGATGGCACAAGTAGTTTTCAGAAGGCTGTTAACCTTAAGGTTGACAGTTCAAAAACTCCACTGGAATCTCAGGAAAAATGCCTGGTGAACTCTGTGAAGATTACAGCCAACAAAGTCCTATAGAGCAGTTCTATTTTCTAATTCATGGGTCACAATAAGTTGGAAGCTGACTCAATTGCAGCTAATAAAAGCAGTGTTTTTATTGTCTTAAAAATCGTTGAGAAGATGGTTTAGTTCAATGAAAGGAGAAATCAATATTTCTGTCTGGAATGTTCAGAAAAAATTCATGAGGGAAGCACAGTGTAAGACTGATGAAGTTAAGGAAATCTAGTTCTGGGCTAGAATCAAAAGTGCAAATATGAATGGAGGGCACTCTGGTGGTGTGGGGCACTCGAGTGGCTTAGCTGTAAGGAGTTGTGCAGCCAATAGAAAGGGAGGCTGTTCAAATCCACCAGCTGCTCCCTGTGAGAAAGAGCAGTCTCTTCCTGTATGATTTACTGCCTCTGAAAACCTGCTGGAGTTTCAGCTTGACAGCACATAACAATGGTAGTGTAATCTGCCGAGAGTTGTGCTAATGTAAAAGTGGTGCCTCTCTGGCCGTGTATCCAAACTTACTGGGTCACTCTGACTCCCAGTGACCCTCTATTGGATTTTCAAGGCTGTAAATGTTTACAAGAGGAGATAGTTCATCTTTCTTCCATACAGCAGCTGGTAGATTTGAACTGCTAACTTTTCAGTTAGTAGCCCAACACCTAACACACAAGGCCATGTGGGTAGAAGGGTGAATATGGAAGCTAAGTAGCCATAAAGTGGACTGAGCCAGTTCCCAGCTCCAAAGTTACTCTTCAGTCCCTGCTCTGACAGTGGACTGGGGGCTCTTCAAGCATTTCTCCTTTAAAATGAGTCTGATGTTAAACTATTGATCGAGAAACACTGGTGAGGAAGGAGGCTTTTCTTCCCGGTTTTAGTGTACCGGATTTTGCATTTTCTTGTTCCTGCTACAGTGTGGTGTCAATAAACTTTTGAGTTTATTGTTCAAAATGGCTTTTTTACTTTGTCTTTGCCAGTGGCTAGGCAGGATCATATAAATAGGGTGAGTTTGTCTGTCCACAGAGGATTAGCTAGTCTCACTATCCCACTAGGTTTAAATCAAGTTGTTTCAGCAACAGAAATTGGGACTTTTAATGCCAGCAAGCAAGAGGGAACAGCACACATCCTTTGGGTCAGAGATTCCCATGCCAGTCAGACCTAGATCTTCACAACAGCGCCCTCAGCAGAGAATCAGAGACAGACATGAAACAGCTGACTTGGGACTGCTGCCCCATGGAACCTGAGCCGGAGGCCTTCACTCAAGCTTGCTAGAGGATTGAAGGAGGACACCTAACTGGAAGGACTAAGAGAACTTTGTAACATGGACCTAAGTCATGAGTCTGAAGGTCAAAGACCCATAATCATGCTTAAGAAGCTGTATGGACTGAGGGATTGTATCTGCTGCCAACCTAAATGATTGCCTGTAAACTTCCCTAATAAACCACCTAACTGGGTATGGTTCTGTGATGTCTGTGTCGTCACTGCAACATATTTTAGACCTAGTAGGGGAGTAGGCTTGGTGTTGGAATTAAGAGTAGGTGTAGAAGTGTGGAAGACTATGTCTGACCTTACAGGAATTAGTTTTGTACTCTTGATGTTGTTGATGGGGACAGTTCTCCTCTGTGGCTTATAGATGTCAGACTTAGCCATTCGCATGTTGCCTGTATTTATTTTACATGCAGGGTGTGTGTAGACATCTAGTGATGCTCTTTCCAGGATCATACCCAGAATAAAGTTTCTCAACTATCGGGCATGACCCTTTGGCTCATGCCCAGTGACTTCCTTGCTGCAGCCCTCTTGACTGATGGACCACCAACTCCTGGCCTTGTGTTTGCAGCAGTATTGTTTCCATCTGTGTGTCCACCAACTGGCTTGCCTGTCCTCTGATAAGTGGTTCTCAAGCCTCTACGTTCCCTATGTGGGAAAGTCCTGCTGTAGGCTTTGTTCTTACAGAAAGCCCCATTTCCTTCTGCAAATGTTCATACCAGTCTTGGCTTGACTGTGCCCCCCAAGGATCTATTCTTGTTTATTAGAAGATTGTTAATCAGTTCCAGCATCCAATTCCAGCATCCAGTGGTTTGCAGCATCTTCTCCAACTGTGTGTGGAAACCAGCCATAAGGAGTGGCTTTTTCAATTTGTCTACTTTACTTCGGGTTTTCTCCCTCAGATTAGGGTATAATTTAGAGTTCTCCTATTTACATTACTCTCCTAAATTACTGTGTGGTTTTTGTCTCCTGATTGGTCCCAGATACTTGACTGATGGGTTTAGAAAGTGATGAAAAGTAGAACCTTCTGGTCCTCTCCTCACGCTTGGAAACAGCTTGCTTGCAGAAAGCATGCATTCTGCCCTCTTCTTCCCACGTTACAGGAGTGGTTTGTTAAACCATTTTTGTCATGTTGTCTCTGTATGGATGGGTATGTCAGTATGATTCTGGAATCTGGTGTTAGGAAGCCCACTTGGACACAGATATAAGCATCCTTCCTCAGTTTTGGTTTTATCACTCATTGTTGTTGTTGTTAGATGCTGTCAAGTCAAACATGACTCATAGTAACTCTATGAACAAAAGATCTGAACCCTGCCTTATCCTGCACCATCCTCACAGTTTCTGACACACAAGAACCCACTGCAACAGTAACTGTATCAAGCCACCTGGTTGAGGGTCTTTCTCTCTTTTGATGACACTCCACCCTTCCCTACATCTTGTCCTTTTCAAGGAATGGCAGCTTCTGGCAACATGTCCAAAGTATGTGAGCCAAAGCCTCATCATTCCTGCCTCCAAGGAGCACTCCAACTGCACCCTCTCCAAGACATATCTGTTTGTTCTCTTAGCTATCCATGGGATGTTTGGTGCTCTTCTCCAACACCACAGCTCAAAGGCAACAATTCTTTTCCTGTCATCCTCATTCACTATCCAGCTCTCAGGTGCATAGCTAGTAACTGGAAAGAATAAATCAGATGCACCTTAGTCTGCAGACTAACATCATTACTCCTCAATAATTTGGAAAGATCCCTAACTACACATTTTCCCAGTGCAATGCATCTCCTTATTTCCTAATTGCTGGTACCAAGGGTGTTAACTGTGGATCCAAACAAGATGAAGCTGTTAACAGTCTCTCAATCTCTCCACCTATTGTGACGCTACCAGTGGTAAGAATCTTTGTTTTCCTGATGTTGAGATGTTTTATAACTAATAAAGGTAATGTTTCACGCTTTATTTACCTTTTTATTTCTAAATCAGTTACAAGCTGGGTGGAAAAGAAGGAATTGAATCACTTAACTAATACACTTTGTGCTTTTGCTCTTGACATGCTGTGAACTGGTTACACCATTTTCTAGCTTTGACTAGAACAAGTCTAATTCACAATTAACATAAACTGAATTTTAATACTAAACAAAATTCTGTAACATTTCATCTCAAAAGATACACTAGGGAAAACTTTAAAATCCTTTAACTTTTGTTAGTCTTTCTTCTACAAGCAGATTTTTGGTTTCTTGTTCCAAGTCTTCTTTATTGATACTTTTGAGTTACTCATTTTCATTTTCATAGGCAGTAAGCATCATTTTTCAGTAACACTAAAAACATTTAGAAACTATTAGACTACAATTTACATTGCCTTTTCCATAGAAACTGAGTTCACCAACACCATGGCAATTGCTGAGAAAGTGGCATATACTCAGATCTGTATCATAGCGTCTCTGGTATCTCAAGGTGTTTTCCAATGCAGCAAATAATAATCGGGAAAATGTATTGGTTCGCCTGGCCGAAAATCCCAGTGGCACATACTGCTGCAGGTGAAGACTGACTCTGAATCTCCTCGAATGTGACTTACGATCTCGCTTCTTTGTTTCCATTTCTGTCACCTGATTAGTGTTGACTCCATTTTGGACGAACTCACTGCTTTAATTCAAGATCCTCAACTGGCCTCAAGTTTAACAGTAAAATTTTCACTCACACGAGTCCTTCATAAAATAGCACAAGAGAGAATCTGTATCACCATTCTCAGACAATTGCTTCTGAGTCCTTCTGATTGGTCAGAAGCTGTGTTGCCAACCTGAAGGCACACACAGTTAGAACCCACCTGCTTCTCCTCTGGAGAAGGCTGTACAATATCCTGGGTGGTATACAGCTTCTGACAACCTGCTAGAGGGTCAGCTGTGAGTCAGCCTGACATAACACTATACAATATAACAACATCTTCTCAGGTGAGCTTAGGGAATTGTGCCAATTCCAAACCATTTATTATAAACATAGGTAGCAATATAAACATGTACACTGGCTGGGCAACACAGGGCCCGCCTCTTGTGCTGGCAGGGATCGTTCCACCTGACCTGCAAAGCTGAGCGTAAAGGGAGGAAAAGGTTCTGAAAGAAATTCAGGCTAATCCTTCAAGAAGGAAGAGACATTGATACCGGGCAGCCCCAGCAGGTGTTTCCAGCGTCTGGTTCCTATTCAGTCTTTCAAAAAGAAAACTAAGATTTCATGTAACCCAAAACTTCACATATTTACAACACGTTACTTAACACATTTTTAGAAAACAGGCATAAATTAAAGGTTAAGTCATTTCACAGTACTTTATTTGTTATTTTATAATTGCTAAAAGACCTTGTTATGAAAAGTGCTAATACATACTTTATCTAAAGGATTTTTATATTCAAGAAAATGCCTATATTCAAAGCGAAACCCTAACTCTGATGACTTACAAATTCAAACAAACATGCCTTTTAAGGTGTCCCTCTTCAACATGTTTTTAAAAAATTTAGTTGTGATCCTGATATCACAAAGTATCAACATTTTCACAAATCATCACCCTTCATCCTTCATTCTAGCTCTAGTAAACTTTAAAATTTTGTTTTGGCTAAATTTTTCTTTTCTCTTTCCTTTTTTTAAATCCTCAAACACCTCCCTTTAAAGAGTTCTGGGTTTTCCAGGGTCAGCCTCCTCCATTCCCACCCTTCTCAGATTTCCAGTATTTTTAAAAACTTAGTTTCTTTATCTGCTTAGTCTTCAAAATAGCCTACAGTGAAATGAGTATTTGTGTTATCCCCACCTCAGCTGCCTGCCATCTGTCTTTAACCTTTATACTCCGTTGTTGTTATGTGCCAATGCATTTCTATGACTCATAGTAACCCTAGGAACAATGGCTCTGAACCTTGCCCTATCCTCAGCCAATTTCACCACCTCCAACGCACTGGACCCAATCGCTACAGTCACTCTGTCAATCCAACCCATTGAGAGTCTTTCTCTCTTGTGCTAACCCTCTCCCTTTCCAAGCATGATGTCCTTCTCCTAGGACTGGCTTCTTATAAAATGCCTAAACTGAATTATGTGAGATGGAATTTCACCATCCTTGTCTTCAAGAAGCACCCTGGTTTCACATTCTCCAGTTGAGAGCTGTTTGTTCTTTTGGAAGTCCCTAGGCCTGCCTAAAATCATCAACAGGGAGGTCTGTTGGTGTAGTCCCCAGGGAGCTGTACTTGAACCCAAAGGTGGAGCCTCTCTGTTGGTTTGAATCCACAGGTATCTCTGAAAGAGAGAGATGGGCCATTTCCTCCGGTGTGATTTACAGCCTTGGAAATTCAACGGAAGTAAGTACATTGTTGTTGCCCTGGAAATTCAATGAAGTAATGTTATTGTTATGTGCCATCGAGTCGCCTGCGACCCACAGCGACCCTATGCACAGCAGCTCTGAACTCTGCTCTGTCCTAAGCCAGTCTCAATAATTCTGACACACCAACCCCCATTGTTTCAGTTACTGTATCATCTCATCCAGGGTCTTCCTCTCCTGCACTGTTCCTCCATCCTTCCAAGCATGATGTCCTTCTCTAAGGGCCAGTCTCTCCTGGCCACGTGCCCAAAGTATGTGAGACAGAACTTCAAAATTTTAGCCTACAAAGAGAAACTTGGTTTCACCCTAAGACAGACTTATTTTTTTTTTCTTAGTAGTCCATGGTATGTTCAAGACTCTTCTCCCAACACCACATTCAAAGGCATTGATTCTTCTTCTGTTATCCTTAGTCATTGTCCAGCTCTTTGATGCATAGCAAGTAACTGTGAAGATCATGGCCTGGATTAGGTGCACCTTAGTCTCTAGACAGACAATGCTGCTTTTCTGTACTCTGGAGAAGTTTCTGACAGCAGATTTTTCCCAATGCAATTCGTCTTTTGATTTCCTGACTGCTGGTGTTAAGTGTTGATTGTGGAGACGAGCAAGCTGTAATTAACAACCTCAGCCTCTTCTCCATCTATCAGGGCACCCAGTGGTGAGAATCTTTGTCTTCTTGATGTTGAGCTTCAACCCATATTGAAGACTACAGTCCCTGATCTTCTGCAGCAAGTGCTTCAGGTCCTCTTCAGTTTTAGTATGAGTCAGTTCTAATTTAATGGCAATGAGTGAAAACAGCAGGATGAAGCCATCAGCATAAGGGGCTCTGGAGGCGTGGTCTGTAACATTTTGCATGCCTAACCAAATTACCAAAAGCCTGCCTGTCTCCAGTGGTTTGAATTCACCATTGACTTGAGAAGGATGGGAAGTCTCCCTCCCATTAATATTTACAGCCTCAGAAACCTATGGAAAATGGTTGAGTTAGAATCAACTGATTGATAACTTCCTCATTTTGAGCTTTCTCTTATCTCTGATTAGCCTTCCTGTTTGACCCCTAAGATGTAGTCATGTCTGTTGTATTACTAACACTTCCCTTTTATCCATCAAATATAATCCAAACAAAGTAACTAAGAGCTCTGAAAATTTTTATGTTCTTAGGATTAGAACCAATGAGTGATGTCAGAAGCACACACTTTGGGAGCAGAAATGACACCAGAGATCAGGGACCAGAATGAGACCCACCCACTACACTTTGAACTTTCTGTGGGTATCATCTCATTCATTGGCTCAGACTCCAGCTGCAAGGCCTACCGAGAGAATGAGGCCATAAATAGAACCTCACAAGGGGGCAAGAGGCCTCTCTCCATTATTTCCTTCCAAGGAGGGAGGTGGGTCCCTTTGGGGAATGAGTAAATCTTATCTTTACTTTCACCCTCATTTCTTTTTTCTTTTTCCTTTTAATTTATAGAGACTTAGGGTTTCCATTCATTCACTGTTGCACTTTTCTCCCTGCCCACCCTTCCCTGCCAATTTGCTCTTCTCTTTGAAAAGTAAAACTCTTTCATTGTTATACAATCCCTCCCCACTAGTCCACTCCACTGTGCAGCCTTCATTCTGGACTCCTGTCATGACAATAATACCCAATCGTATATCCCTTTTAAATAGTTCCCTCCTTCATCTGTTTCAATGCAGTATAAATTATTTATCCTCTCTTTCTCAGTCTTCCCTCAACCCCGATGTCAGTCTCATTTTACAGCAGTGGCCGTATGCAATATTTGTCCTTTTGTGACTGAGACATTTCACTCAGCATAATGCCCTCCAGGGTCACCCATTTTGTATATTTTATGAGGTCCTTATTTTTCAGTGCAGCATAATATTCCATTGTGTGAATATGCCAGAGCTTCTCTATTCATTCATTTGTTGATGGGCACTTGGGTTATTTCCAGCTCTTTGCTATTGAACTTTCACCCTCATTTCTGCCTTTCCCCCCCCTTCGTTCTTTCCCCTGAGCTCTAATAAAAAGCTTCCGCCTATATTTTAATGCTCCAGACAGCGAAGTCTGCTCTTCCAAGAAACACTAAAATTGCTGTATACACAATCAACACTTTTGGTAACAGCAGCCAGGAAATCAGGAGACAAATTGCATTGGGAAAGTCAGCTGTGAGGGACCTCTCAAGAGTAATGAAGTGCAACGATGTCAGGCTGGAGACTAAGGTACGCCTGATTCAGGCTATAGTTTTTGCTATTACGTGCTATGCATTGGAGAGTTGGACAGTGAATAGGGATGATAGAGAATTGATGCCTTTGAGTTGTGGTGCTGAAGAACAGTGTTGAATATACCATGGACTGCTAGGAGAACAAACAGGTTTGTCCTGGAGAGGGTGAAGGCAGAATGTTCCCTGGAGTCAAGGCTTCTGAAGCTTCATCTGACATACTTCGGGCATGTTGCAAGGAGAGACTGGTCCTTGGAGAGGGACATCATGTTTGGGAGAGTGGAGGGACGGCACAGGAAAGGAAGGCCCTCGATGAGATAGATCGATTCTGTGGGTGGAGTGGTAGGAATGTGTGTTTAAGACAGCCAGGTTGGCACAGGATAGAACGGCGTTTAGGGCTCTTGTACATAAGGTCGCTATGAGTCGCAAACAACTCGATGGCACATAACAACAACAACTCCATCTTACATACATTGGGCATGCAGTCAGGAGGCACTGGTCCTTGGAGAAGAACATCATGCTAGGAAGGGTGGAGGAACAGCGCAGTAGAGGAAGACCCAGGATGAGATGGATTGATATAATAACTGGGGAAATGGGGGTTGGCATGTTTAGTCAGCAAGACTGGGCAGGACAGGGCAGGCTTCAGAGCTGTTGCACTTATGGTCACTATGAGTCACAGGCGACTTTGCAGAACTTAACATCATCATCATACTACCTTAGTACTTGAGTACGGTCCTCCTCTCTGGTCTCTTCTGCTGTATATAATTCTTTTGCCTTTGTGAGAAGGGTAACCTTGGGTGGTAATGGTCTGGCTCAAATATTTCAGTTTAATTTTCTTTCCATTTCTTCCTGTCATCATCACATCGACTGATGCACTATACAAGAATGCTACCTGTGTGTTTCTTTTTCCCCCCAGGATTTCTTCAAAGGCCAGCTCAAATATTTTCATTTCTTTGAACCGTCTCTGGTTTCTTCAAACCCTAAATCACTACTTCCAACTTAATCAACAGGTCCAAGCTCCTACCGGCTCTTGAAAAAAGCTCACTGCTGTTGACTCACAGGAACTGTGCACTGTGAATATGGCTGGAGTGGACTGCCTCATCCTTCTCCTGAGGAGCCGCTGGTGGATTCAAACCGCTGAGCTTTGGTTAGCAGCCCAACATCACACCACTAAGACATCTGGAAAAGCTTCCTCACTAGCGTCACTGCTTCTTGCCAGTTGCAATTGTTTCTCCAGATGATCACTAGAACAACCTCTCATCTATTCCAATTTCCTTAATACACCCACAGGGCTTCTCACAACTGGACTCTGATAATGCATATTGGTCCAGGCACTGTGCTAAGTACTTCAACCGAAACAGTCTTATGAGTGAAGGACACTTTTGCTGGCTTTTGTAAAAAACATAGTTTTCTAATTTCACACTTTCAGGTATACAATTTAGTGTTATCAATTACATGAATCATGTTATGTAATCACCACCTATAGTGGTTGCTAAATTTCCTATCACCATAAACTAATATTGCTTCCTAAGCGATGTGAACTATGGACTTAATGAAAAAAAAGATGCACATTTCTAGCAGACACTACACGCAGGTCCCTTATCTAGGGCTGGTACACTCTTTCTCCAACTGCTGCTAACCCAGGCTTCCCCCCTTTCTTGGAGGACTGTCTTTGGCTGAGAAGAGGCACCCAGACATCTGTTTGCTCCCAGTTCTCCTTGCATATCCTACCCCAGCCTGCAGTCAATGATTAACTGGCATGAGAACGTAACAGCCCCACACCCAGGCCTCCGGCAGGAATGGTGTGTGTGGTACAATTTACACTGCACTGCTCTGTGCTATCTGTTGAGACTGCAGTTCTGAAATGGCTCCTCTCCCACTCTGGGATGTCTGCTTTGGTTCTTTACTCCACTGTAGAGTTCTCCTGAGAGCACTCCCTCTATCAATCACTTGCCTGAGAATCTCCAATTCAGATGATGCTTAAGAACTGATCGAAGACACTATTTATAAGGAAGTAACCCGAGACAAAGGCAGATGTAGTACTTTGTCTTAGACCAGACCAAATAGGTAATTTGAAACCAGTCTGCCTTCCAAACCTGTGTTTTTACCAACATTCGACTGGCTACTACTCCAAGCTCCTCTGGAGACACTGTCTGACCTCACTCTATTCTTCTGTTGCTGTGCATCCTCAAAGCAATTCTAGCTTGGAGAGGCTTCATGAGGCAGGCAAGGCCCTACAGGATCCCTAGGCTGCAATCTTTCTGCAAGTACACAGGCCAGTCTTTTCTCCCCAGAACTCTGAACTACTGATGAATTCATCGAGGAGCTGAGTGCTAACTCCTCACCACCAGGGCTCCTGAACCCTCTAGCTAATTTGGGGTTTTATAATTCCCGAAAAGTTCTCCCTCTAGCTTCCTGTGGCTTTCAAAATACTTAAAACGTTGCCCCTAAAATGATCCCACTTTGTCGAAAACAGAATCACTATCTTCAACTCATGATCTGCCAAAAGGACAAATCTGTCTGGGGAGTTGTGCAGCCCGAGTGCTCCTTAGAAGGAAGGTTGGTGAGAGCTTGTCTCAGACACTCTGCACGTGTTATCAGGAGAGGCCAGTCTCTCAAGAGGACATCGTGCTAGGAAAAGCAAAAACTCAAGAAGGTGCTCCTCAATGAGATGCACTGACACAGGACTGCAGCAGTGGGCCTACGGGCAGCGGGGACTGTAGGGATGGCACAGGATCTGGTGGGGTGTCCTTCAATGTTTTGGTCACTGGGAGTTGGAGCTGACTTGAAGGAACCTAACAACAAATCTCCAACTGTTCTTTCTTATTACTTATAACTTTTGTATCTGAAATTTTACTACGCATATATTGCCTGCTATCCATACTAAAGTAAAAAATTCCAGGAGGGCACAGATGCTTCACTCTTTTGCTATCTGGCACCGAGCAGCGTCAGGAAATGTTTTGTTGTTGAATAAATGAAATGAGTTCTCTCTTCTCAGAATCCTTACAGGACTTTGTGAAAAAATACTACTGCTTGTTCTTAATTTAGACTGTAGTAATTTAACACATATTTTATTCACTCTTCAGTTTGAATGGTTGGAGAACACAGGAAATATGTTTTATTAATTTTAATGTACACAGAAGGTATTCAAGCAATGGGGATGCCTGATATTTCAAATAACTGCAGTTTGCTTTCCATACAAGGATCAATTATCAGTATGTCATATAAATTATAAGCCAGAAATATAAAAAAATACATCATAAAGTTTTCCTATACACATTATAAGAGATTTTAGTAAGAACAATTAAGTACTTATAATTTCATCTTTATTTAAAAAAAATGCTGTTCTCAAAATATAAAAAATAGACCTATTTTCAAAGAACCATTTAAATATGGCTTTGAAAAGCCCAATCTTTTATTTACAACAAACAGATGGTGCAACAGCATTCATGTTTCAGGTGAGTCCTTCCTATTTTAGGCATCTACACTGACTCACTAAAACCAGTAATGGCCATTAATATCTACACCTGAACTGGAGCACTTGGGGGAGGCTCTGGACCCATATATTCCCAAGTAATAGAATATTACTGAAGAGGGATGTAGCCTCATTTCCATTTCCATATAGTTTGTCAACAAAAGCATCCCAAACAGTCCAGCAGCTGTATCAGATCTACTCACGCTTCTACTAAGTGTCTTGTAGTCATAGATGCTAAATAAAGGTCAATATGGCAAAAGATTTTATATATTTTAAATATTCCGTCTATGTCCTAACACAAGAACTAGATCCAGGAGCGAATTTAAAATTATGGGATAGCCTTTGAAAACAATAGCATGAGTTGGAATGACACCAGATACTGGCATTTTACAAACGGAGAGGTATATAACCTCTTACTTTTTGCTAGTTTGTGCCTTCAAATGGAATTTAAACTAGAGTCTTTCTTACCAAAGTTCCCTGATTCTAAAATGCTCTGGGTTTGAGTGACATCTTTTCAGTAATTCTTAAAGCTTAATTTACCCTAGAAACAGACAATGTCATCTTGCACAAGTTAGCTTCTTACTATTGCACAAAGGACAATTTCAAGACTCATTCACACAAATGAGTTTAGAAAAAGCAGCAAAGTCATCTAATCCACTTAGAAAAGGTTGCAACAAATCAGTTTCTACTTGAATGATGAAATGGATGAATTAATGGAACTCTATTCTTGATGTCAGTTTTAGCATTGTATTGATGGCAACTATTTCAGGCAGAGGTAGCCGAATCTCACACTTGGGAAGGCAGGAAGCACATAATATCATCAAGACTTAGGTCTTTGACTTATAATGATTATGACCACTTTCCATTGTCAGGCATGTTAGGCCAAAAGGTCACCTTGCCTTATTTTAGCTTACTTTTTTTTTCTGAAAGGCCAAGTAAAAAATGTAAGACATTTTCATATACCACAAAGGTAATACAGCAGGCTGGAGTCACTCTAATCAAATTGGGGATGATTCCTTTGTAAAATCCTCCAACGCCTTCTTTCCTACAGAGGGAAAAATGGATAAATGCTTAATTTCCTAAACGGTTAGCCCCAAACCACAAATGTTTAACATTTAAATGTAGAGCATAGAGTAAGAAGGCAAACCTCACTATAACTTAAGTCTACATTTTCACTATCCTGAAATAATGTCATTTGTGAGCCCTTTGGAAGGGTTTATATTCTGTGGATTGAGAAAGGAAGGGAAGCACCACCTCAAAACTGAATTTCAAAGTGCTTCAATGCTGTCTTTCAAATGCCTTTAGTATATGTAGGAGTTTTAACTCTGATCTAATAAAGGCATAAAATGCCACAGTTCACGTTAATACTAGACAACACTAAACACAGTATAAACACAAAAATGCAACATTTCTTTAATACTTAGACTATACCATTTGTCACCGAGCTTCTCAATAAATTATCTTCTGAAAAAAACATTACCTTCTGAATGGAACTAAATGCACACATTTAAAATATTCTTCTCTGAGCTTTTTAGAAAAAAAGGGAAATATGGGAATGTTTACTTAGAGCAGTCTAAAATCTCACTAATTAAAAGTGTAGTCATTATCCCCCCAAAAAAGTCTAATTAGTCCCGTGTCTGATGCTAAAACACTAGCATCTCTTGAGCAGAATGGAAACAAGTTATCCACAAACATCATGATGCCAAGAGGAGGTCTGAGTTTTTCACAAATGGACTAACTGGTGTTTTTAAATGTTTTCTTTTTCTTTAAGAAATTACTTCCTCTATTTAATATCACGATACTCAGAATGTTAAAATGCATGGCCCACTAGCCATCTTCCATGCACAGTGCAACGGCTTTTGCTTTAAATAAGCACCAACTTGGCAATCTAAGACACACAAGGTCCCTTCTAAGACAGATTAGGACACAGCCCGTCCTCTCACCTCCATGTCCGTGCGATGACATCCGACACTCCCTTGTAAAAAATGTGTTGATCCTGAAGACGAGCTCTCACAACTTGGTATGGGTATGTTGCTGCGACGGCAAATATTTTGGATAGTGCTGCAACGGATATATATTCTGCTGTGCTCTAAATGACAATAAAAGACACTTCTGTTCCTCTTAAAATATATAGAAGTCAACATTACACAGGGACACAAATATAGAAGTGGAACTTTAATAGCAAGTATTGCTGTCTTCTTAACAATTAAAGGGTTCTAGTTGAACATTTGCATATTATTAGTCTATCTAAGATAATAAATTATGTTTATGGCAAAGTCAATATTTATAGCCACAGCAGTACCACCAATGGAAGTACGCTAAAAGTAACATCTATAAAATGCCCATATAAGTAAATGACATAATTTTTTTTCAAGAATTGTCTTACCAGCTGCGCTTCTGGTAATCTATTGATATGCTGGTTGTATTTCACCTTCAGCAACTCATATGCCATAAACTGAAGAGCACCATGTGATGTTCCAAACAGTCCAGGAACAAATCCCTAGAAGGGAATCATTTCATAAAAACCAAAACTCAACTATAAAATATACTTTCAAAATGTACCTTTTTTCTCTCTTCTTGATAGTTCTTTAAACAAATACTGTTTAAGGTCTAAATGAATAACATTTTTGTACATGGAATTTTTAAAATGAATTCTTTCTTACTTTAGTTTTTAAGTTAAGAATCAATTTTTCACACTTTAATCTCTCTTAACACTGGATACATTTAAACAACAACAAAAAGTTATTATAAGGTCAGAAAACGAAAATTTTTAAACTGAAATATATCTGTAATAGAAACTATGACTGGCTTTTTAGAACCGTATCTATAAATCATTCAGGTCCTAAACAACTTATCTCTTCCATCTGTGGTTTCATTATCTATAAAGTCACTATGTTAACATGAATAGCATGCTATATAGTTCTTGAAAAACAAAAATTTAATGTGTCCAATTTTTATTCTAAATTAGGTACAAGCTCTAGAGGTGAAAAGGAGATGGGGCCAGGACTTGGAGAAGAAGAAAGACAGGAGAAAAACAGTTTTTAAAACAGCAACAGGAAGAAATTCTATCATTAGGAAGAAATTTTAAAAATCTTACAAGCAAAAGGCTAGTTTTGCTGTTGTTTTTTAATTCACATAAAATCTAGACAGATAATCCCTTGATATGGTTAGAGTTGTTATACTTTTGGTACACTGACCATGTTACCATGTTGTTGTTGTTGTTATGAGCCGTCGAGTCGCTTGTGACTCATAGCGACCCTATGTACAATAGCCCTGAATCCTGCTCTGTCCTATGCCAATCTCACTGTCTCTGACACCCCCACCCCAATTACCCCAGTCACTGACTCAACCCTCATAGAGGGTTTCCCTTCCTATGCTGTCTCTCCAACCTCCCAAGCATGATGTCCCTCTCGAAGGACTGGTCCCTCCTTGCAACATGTCCAAAGTATATTAGACGAAGCCTCACAATCCTTGCCTCCAAGGAGGAGCCCGGTTTAACCCTCTCCAGGATGAACCTGTTAGTTTTCTTAGCAATCCATTCAATACTCTTCTCCAGCACCACAGCTCAAAGACATCAATTCTTCTTCTATCCTCCCTAGTCATTGTCCAGCTCTCTGATGCATAACAAGTGATTACAAAGACCATGGCCTGTATCAGGCACACCTTAGTCGCCACAGTGACACCATTGCTCTTCAGCACTTTGAAGTGGTACCTACCAGCATCTCTTGAGATCTTACGAGACCCAGTGACCTCTTCCCCCCACTACGTTATCACGTATTCCCAAGAGACCAGAGCTTCGAGGGATGAGAGTGAAGACTAAATGACCTGTTTGTCTGCCTGAGTGAAAACACACCAGATAAAGTTTCAGACTGTTCCTTTCACACCCACCAGTCAGAACGTTACACCTTAAAGTAATGGTGATAAATAACTTAAGGTCCAATTTTCATATTGAAAAATACATTTCTGTTTTCATTAACTTGTTTTGTACTCAAGAATTTGGCTTCTTTTTAGTACTGTCTATCCACTATTCAGAACTGAGACAATAAAGCCAATGTAAGTTACTATTTTCAGTTACTCAAAATACATGTTGATAACAAGATATTACCTTATATAATCCACGCACACCTTCATACTTATATATTTTCGTAAGTGTATCAAATAATCCTTTATACTGTCGTTGTGGAGGGTTAACCTCACTCTCATACTGTAACATAAGGCGAGTTTTTGCTACCCACAATGGGTTTGTAATACAGAGGGTCATGGCTCCTAAAATAAAATTGAAATAAGATTATTCAGTACACAGGTACTTTCTCATTTTAGCAAAACCAAATTAAGAACAATCCATTATATAAAAAAAAGAGTTCACATAGGGATTTTCACACCATGTTACACAGTCCTTGAGGTGCTAGTTGCTGTCAAGCTGATAACAGCTCAGTGTGACTCCATTTGGGTGAAGGAGAAATGCTTCCAAAAAGGAAGAAAACCTTTCAGAAGTGGATCACAACATCTGTCTCCTGAGTTGGCTCTGGTTAGATTTGAACCACTAATCTTCCCGCTACTAACTGAGTGCTTGATTGTCTGTGCCATCAGAGACTCATTGTTTTAAGAAACATCTAATTTGTAGAGAGCCAGTACAAGTTCTAAGAAGCAAACTAAGAGAAAAATCGTCAGGAGTGTGAGATGGTCTAAACAAGAGGGGTAAAAGATCAGGAGGAAACTATGTGTACATATACTCCATCAGCATCTTACTCAAATGCTTATAAAGTAGATCCAAAGGTAGAAAGTTCTAATCCATCAACTAGCTCTGCTGGAGAAACACGAGCAATCTCTTTTCATGTGACTTATTGCCACCGCAAACCCACTGGAGAGTCAGCTAGGAGTCAATTCTAACCTGACAGCACATAACAACTAACACTCCCCCCTAAAAAAATAACTATGTAATGTAATAAATAAGATTTTACATTTCTCACAGAAGGTTACAATGTTGTGTTTATTTGTAATTGGCTAAATATCTTATTTTCTGAGATTCCTAAGCAGTCAATTGTTTAACAAGTATTTACTAAGTCATATTGTAAATAGGATTCTGTAAATAAGTACTCAAAAGTGAGCAAGACATTTGTTTTCAAGAACTCACACCATTAAGAACATTTACAAAGTCAAGGAAAGAGAAGTATCAAAGTAGAAGATATAAAGACATAGGGCTTTGGTTTCCTGTTTTTTCTTCTGTGTATTATACATGTATGATTTAAAATAGGTTACTAAGTTGTATAATTTAAAAGTTGAAATTACACTGTAAATGAATATGCTATGAAATCATCTTAACTATTAATAGATCCATCACTTTACTAAAGGTTACTTATATGCTAAGTTAAAAATATTTAACATTTATCTGTATTCAAACCAATGTAAAATTTAAAGTTTGTAAAAAATCTGTCCTAGAACCAAAGAGGAAATCTCCTTTCTAAGTTTTTCTATGTGCTAACCGAGTAATACAGTAAAATGGATATACTTAAATGCTGGTGTTTAAAGGAAAAAGGGAAAGCAAGATCAAAGAAGTCAGGCTGGAAATGGACACTCTGTAGTTCACACTTTTTCTTACCAGCTTCAGCAGCTGAGACCAGGTATTCTGTCGCCTCTAAGCGGTCAGCTCTTCCTTCTGTCTTGTAAGATTTGATGGCATTGTAACTAAAAATTTAAAAACAGTTTGAGATATTTGAATTGATATAATAAAGTACTACAGTTTGCTTCAAAATGTGTTAACGGTACCCTCAAAGTAATACATAATGCAACAACAAAATAAGACCTTTTCTAAGAATGGATTTGCTGAAAATGGTTTATAATGAAATTATAATATATGAATATTAATTAAATTTACCAAAGTAACAAACCAGTTACACAGCTCATCTTTCCGAATCCACCTCACTGAAGTGGCATCTGTAAGGAGTTTTTCTTCATCTCATCTATTTTCTTCCTATTAAAAAAAACTTTTCTCTCAGAACAAACACATTTGGGTGAACAGAGAATGAAAGCGTATAGAGAATGAAACTAACAATGGGCCTTGCATTTCTCTTCCAAGTCAGCGAGAAATTGATTGAGCCATGTTGTTTCACTGACTGGCATGTCAAAATCACTGCATTGTTGCTGTTAGGTGCTGCGGAGTGGAGGAGGACTCATAGCGACCCTACAAAAACCAACCTGACATCCAAGCAGATATATGCACACCCATGTT